ATCCGGCACAGCGCGGCGGCCATCTTTATTTTAATGAAGTGAGGATTATTTAAATCCCCGTTTCATCGACTACCTCGGGTAGCCTGGTTTACATGCCTCTGTCGGCAGAGGCATGTAGTCGAGACGCACCCTAAGCTGGCCCCACCTGAGGCCTTTCTGTGGGTGGTAGTGATGGTTCTGGGTACTTTAACCTCAGGTCTGCTAGGAGGTATCAAGGAGCTGCCGGATTTACTCCATTGACTATTCTTCTTTCCCTCCCTCCTCCGCAGAAGCGTAAGAACATGGGGAAGGTGCGGGGGCCGAACCCCAAAATGAAGCCCGCCATGCAGATCAAGTCGGTAAGTGTCCTCGTGCTCTGTCTTCCCCACGCTGGGCCAGTGGCATGACTGCACCGAGACGTTCCTGCCCCCTGGAGGGGTAGCTCTCTGGTGGGGCGGGGTGGTTGGAGAACAAGAGTTTAAAAAAAAAGAAAAACCTGAAGTGTTTTTTAGAAATGCCACTGTGGTGCGGTCTGGGAACTGTAGTTCAGGTGCCTGTTACTCCTGTGTAGGACTACATTTCCCATGATGCACCATGGCACGCTTGGTACAGTGATGCTGTGCATTGTGGGAGATGTAGTCCAGCTGGGGAGCCCAGCCTGGCCTGGAGAGGAGAGTGGTAGCCAGGGGTGGGCAATAATTGTTTATGGGGGCCACTTCAGAAATTTTTTAACTGGCCCTGGGCTGCACCCAAAGGGGCAGGGCCAGGATACTTCCCTGCTTCCCCACCCACAGACCATGATTGGTTTGGGGGAGGGGGAGCGAGTGAAGTCTTTGCCCCCCCTCCAGAGGTTCCCCCTAGGCGCCCATGACCCTGGGGTGGGAGGAAACGTCACGCACTCTCCCATCTGCCCCCAGGCCAATCAGGGTTTGGGGGCGAGGGGAGCGCGCAAAGTCTCCTCCCACCCTGCCAGGAGTGCACAAGTGCCACCCGCTCCTGGCAGGGCGGGGGCAGGGTGGAAGGAACTTTGTGCGCTCCCCCCTGCTTCCGGGCCCTAATCGGCCTGGGGGCAGGGGAGCGGCAGGGCCTTTGTGGCCCGGATCAGCCCGCAGAGGCTCTTTTGCCCACCCCTGGTGGTAGCACATGGCACCTGAACTTCGCATCCCAGGGGGCACTGGGTAATCCCTGGGTCTGTTGCACGGAGGCCCCTAGCCTGTTTTCTGGAGGCCCTGCTTTTCTTCGGCCATCGTGGGGCTTCCAGGGAGGGGTGGGGGCCAAACAGCCTGGCCACAGCCGCCCACCGCGCCCCTCTGGCCCCCCCAGGAGTCCGAGGAGGAGGATGACGACGAGGATGACGAGGAAGAAGAGGAGGACGACGAGGACGACGAGGAGGAGAACGGGGACTCGTCCGAGGAAGGCGGGGACTCATCGGAGTCGAGCAGTGAGGAGGAGAGCGAGGATGGGGATGAGGTAAGGCCGCCTGCAGCGCACTGCGGGACTCGGGATGGGTGCCTTGCCTCTTGCTCACCCCACCTCGCTCTTCCCCTCCCCCCTAGTAGACTCCCTCTGAGCCTGTTCACTGCTCCCAGGGCCGGCCGTGGTATCTCAGTCTGCCCTGGGATCCCTGGGCCCAGTAATCCATAGGAGTCTCTCTTCCTGCCCCCTTCCCCTGCAACATGGGATCCAGCCTTGGCAATGACCTCAGAGGAGCTGCGCCTATTCACGGGAGATCTCACCGGATCGTGTCACACAGCCGGCGTCCGCAGCGCGAGGAGCTGTCATCCAAGAACACAGTTTGGGCAAACCAGGGCTCTGCACCTTGCTTCCCACAGCCCCGATTTCCGGGGCAGGGCTGCGTGTTCCATGCAGCGTTCCCTCTAATTTTTTCCATCCATGGGCGGAATACATTTTGTTATGTGCACCGAGGCATGTGCAGATGTGCACCACCAGTAGAAACACTTGCTGTGGGTGCTCTGCTAAACAGCTGGGCAGTGCCTGGGTGGCTGCCCACGTGCTCAGCTTACAGCAGGGGTCTCCAACCTTTTTAAGCACAAGATCACTTTTTGAATTTAAGTGCAATCCAAGATCTGCCTCATATATAATACCCTTGCCCCGCTTCCTTCCTACCCCTTCTCCAAGGCCCCACCCCTGCTCACTCCATCCTTCCTCTCTTGCCCATCCTCACTCACTTTCATCAGGCTGGGGCAGAGGGTTGGGGGCGCAGGCTCTGGTCTTGGATTTAGGGATTTGGAGTGTGAGAGGGGCTCTGAGCTGCTCTTGGGGCAGGCAGTTGGATGTAGGAGGGGGTTCTAGGAGCAGGCTCTGGGAGGGTGTTTGGATGCAGAAGGGGTTAAGAGCTAGGATAAGGGCTTGGGGTGCATGAGGGGGCTCATGACTGGGGTAGGAGTTTGGGTTGTGGGCTCCATCACGTTCTACTGTTTCCCACTTCCGGGGGTGGGGGGGACGGGCTTTCCCAAGTTCGCGGAGCGTGGCCGGGGGTGTTCTGAAACCCCAAACTATTTCACCGGGTTAAAAACAAACCTAAAAGCACCTAAGTTCCTGGAGGAGAGGCCGGTGGGATTGTACTGGGGATGGGAACAGCTCCTAAAGCCTTCCCCCCTTCCCCTCCGGGCTCACAGATTCGAAAGCAAAACCGCCTGTCAGCCGCGTTTCTGAGCGGCGTGCGGGTGAGGCAAGGCCAGCGGGGAGTCTGCCTCGGGCCAGATCCGATAGCTTGGCGGGCTGGATGCAGCCCTGGGCTGTATTTTGCCCAGGCCTGGCCTACGGGCTGCTGCCCATTGGGTGGCAGAGATCCCAGCGAATTTGGGCGGCGCTGGCGTGGGAAATCCAGGGGCAGCAGGGTTTACCCAGACATGGCTGCTTGAGTTCCCAGCCCCCCTCCCCAGACTCTTAACCCTTTCTTTGCCTTTCGCCCCAGAACGAGGACGACGAGGAGGAGGACGACGACGACGAGGACGAAGACAATGACTCCGAGGGCAGCAGCAGCTCCTCCTCCTCCTCAGGCGATTCCTCCGACTCGGACTCCAACTAAAACGCCCAAAGCGCCACCTTCTTGCCGTACTTTCAGTAATCCCCCCCCACACCCCGACCAGTAATATCCTGGCTGGAGCTCTGGGTAGATGGTTGCAGGGAGGGGGATGGGAAAAATCACTGTGGCTAATTTTTTTTCCCCCCTCCCTCTTAAAGATTTTCACACTAATGGGGTGGTGGTGGGGAAGCTGATAAAAGGCTTTTTTTGCAGGGTGGGGGGAGGGGAATTTGTCACTCTGTCATCCCATGGGAATTTTTTTTTTTTTTTTTGAGAGGGAGGGGGGATTTTCACACCTCAAGCTGCCCCCACCTCCCCTTTCAGTGTCCAGCTGCCACCTCCAGACTTTGTACAAACGCCCCCACCAAAATCCTTTTTAAAACGGCGAGAAAACAAACCACCCAGCGGCGCCAATGTCGTGGCAAGAGGGCGCGGAGGGTTGTTCCCGCGCGTGAGCCGAGCGGCTCAGGACTCAGCCGTTGGGACGGTCTCCCCCTTGGCCTCTGCAGCTGCAGGAAGGAATGGTCTCGTACTGTCGGAAGCTGCACCCGGAGCTCCTGGAGAGCAAGGTGCCACTGCACTTAAGAGCTCCCGGAATGAACTTTGCAGGCAGAATTTTTGAGAGAGTTTAAACAGGTGGCCCAGTTTCGGGGGTGGGAGGGGCTGGCACGGGGTGGGGGAGTCAAGTGGCTGTCATGGAGCATAGACCATCAAGAACTGATCATTGCATCACCCAGTAGAAATATGGTTGATCCGTCGTATCCAACCAGCATTTGGGCAAAGACAGTGGCCGGCGGATCCCAGATTTTTTTCTATTTTATTTTATTTTTTTTTTACGATGAAGTGACCAATTATTGTACTGGAACGGGGCATTTGTTGACTGTCCCTGGGAGGGAGCGGGCCAGGGAGAGGGGTTCAGCTGCCAGGAGAGCTCGTCTGTTGTCGTCCGTGGTTGTCGTGTTTGTTGTTGTATTTTTTTTCTTTTATAAAGCGAGAAAGATCCATCTTTTTATAACCAAAATCTCTGTCTCTGACGAGCCCTTGTGGCTTGGCATCTCCCCTCCCCCCGCTGCCCTCAGCCAACGCGAGAGGCCGCCTACATCAGGGCGGCGTGGAGATTGTTTCGGGAGGCGGGGACAGTGGGCGCGAATTGGTACAAGTTTCTCCTCTATCCATGCCTAGAGCAGCCTGCCTGTGAAATAGGGCGAGGGGGGGGCCTGCCATGAGAACCCAGCTGGACCATTCCACGCTGGACACCCAAGCTGGGCTGCATTATTGGGGCTGACCAGTTTCTCCCCCATCCCAGGACCGATCTCCTCTGTCACTTTTGCTGCCAGCTCCAATAGTGTTGGTCGGATTATTCTTTTGGAAAGGAACGTTGGGGGAAGTTGCTCCGGAAAGCCAATCCTTAGCGTCACACGGCTGCGAGCTGCGCTCCCATGGCAGCTGCTTCCGAGGCGCAGGATTAGCAGCTGTGCGTATATTATATTAGTATATAATTGGCTATATATTAATATATCACATGTTCCTTTCCCGGTTGAGAGCTGGGGCTAGCTTTTCGCCCCATCCTTTTCTTATGAGGTTCATAAATGGTTGTGTAATTGGTTCTGTAAATAGCGTGTGTGTGAGAAAGAGAAAAGGCTCCGTTGCCTAATTCTCTGGGTTACTTACTGTTACAGCTCAAAGAGGGACTTGCTCCCCTCTTTCTCCCCCCCAGTGCAGAGGGTTCTTATGGGACCCCCGTGCCATCGAAGCCCTCAGTAGGTCCCTATTCCTTCCACCTTTCCTCCGGGCTGGCCGGGGGTGCTTTCACCCAGAGGGTGTGGGTCTGGAAAATGACCGCATCGGGGAAGAAAAATCCAGTGTTTGAATAACTTTGGTTTCTTTTTTTTTTATCCTTTCCCCGCGCCACGAGGGGAGCTGGGGGGTAAAGTTGGGCGGGCGGCGTGTTGGCCGTCTGTTCTCCCCCACCACGCCTGCCCCCTTTCAGCAAAACCCGCCACGGACGGGAAGAGGTGGCTCCGTTTCGGGGATTTTGTTAGCAGGAGCCGCAGCGGTGAATGCAAGTGCAGTGTTTCTGGGACAAGACTGCCCCTCCCTCTCCGCTCCCCCTTGATGCATTCACAGCACCAGCAATTTCATCTCTCATCTCACTGCATTCTGTGCCCCCTCCTCCCCCAATGTAGCCTGGGGAATCCAGCTTACTAAGAGACACTTGAGAACAAAAACTGGGTCCCCATTACTCCCCCCCTCCTTAAAAGCCCTGCCACCCTCTTTCCTCCCCTCCTCGCCCAAATAACTCTCTTTCCCCACCTCCTCTCCCCAGCACTGGGCGGGGTGACAGTATTGAGCGGGCCGGCGTGTGGCTGTCGCGGTTTTCCCCTCCGCCCCGGGTGCACGATCACTCCCCCCAGTCCCAGAGCCATGCTGTCACCCAGCGTGGTCCCGTGAGCACGGGAGGCAAGGCCGCTTGGAACCAGGAGGACTTTGCCTTTCTGCTTCCTTTCCTAGGATCTACATGTCAAGGGTTTAGCCAGCCCCTTGTGTTTTAAATTTGGCACAGCCAAGTCTGGCCAGAGTGGTGCAAAGTCCCTTTCCC